CGGAACGAATGGGGAATGAGCCTCACAACTGTGAGCATACTGAAGTTGGAAGATTTGCCACTATTTCTCGAACGTCGTGCCAACAACATTACCGTTAGCCCACAACCGTTGTTTAGGTGTTCCGCCTCTCGTACAGTTAAGGCGCACGTAGGCGCCTCGAATAGTACTCCATGTATAAACGCAGCCCCCGCCGACGTTTTTTGCCCTCAGTGCTCAGGTAATCATCGTCTAATAAAGTGTCTTCAGTTTCGAAACATGCAAGTCTCTGAACGCTGGGAACGTGTAAGGCGCTTTGCAGTATGTTTCAATTGTCTGCGATCAGGACATAATGTCCGSCAGTGTACTTCTGGTGCATGTTCATTTTGCCAACAAGGGCATAACACACTGCTCTGCCGACGAACAGGTAYMAGACCTGTGGAAAATATAGCGGATACGAGTGTATCACCATCATCAGCAGCTTCGGTAACAACGCCTAMCTCTACATCCACAATTAACTCAGGTGCTGCGGCGAACCACACTTCTACCGGACCGCAAGTGTATTCCCGCCAGCAATAACAATTAGATAAGGTCCAGTCATTAGTTGTGCAAGATGACCGGACAATTTTACTTGCAACGGCTAAGGTGCTCCTTTCGGATTGCCATGGGAGGGTGAGCTTCCTCAGTGAATCCATGTTTAAAATTCTGAATCTTCGTAGAACTCCGGGGCAGATCCGAGTGGAAGGTATTGGAGCCAATGCAGCCACCTRCACAAAGGGTTCCACAACTGTGCGATTGAGATCCCTCTTTGACGAGACTTTCTCGATGCAATTTGAAGTCTACATCCTACCAACGATTACGACTATGACACCAATATGCAAAGTCGACTTCTCCGCCTGGGATCATCTTTCTGGACTCCAGCTTGCCGATCCAACATTTGGTACTCTTGCCAAAATTGATATACTTATTGGTGCAGATATTTGGCCTGCTTTAATTGCCGATGGGATTGCTGCGGGACCCCATGACGAACCATGCGCGCACTGTACCCGCCTCGGTTGGATCGTGTTTGGCCCTGCGATGGTCAACACTCCAAATCATTTGACGCATACCCTAACTGTCAGTAAATGTATAGGTGATCAGCAACTGGATAAACTACTGCAAACGTTCTGGCAGGTTGAGGACAATGGCCCTGTCGACGAACTCTCGGTAGACTCTTGTGAACGGATTTTCATTGACACAGTACGTCGCACAGTGAGTGGACKCTATAGTGTACAAATCCCGTTTCTTCCGAATGCTCCAGTGTTAGGAGATTCATATCAAACAGCACGGCGTCAGTTTTTTCATCTTGAGCGAAAATTGGCTGGCGACCCTGARCTTAGCAATAAATACATCACGTTTATGCAAGAGTACATAGCACTCGGTCACATGAATCACGTGAGGAACAATTGCCTCGACCCGACGCAATGCTATTACATCCCCCATCATGCGGTAACAGGTAAATTTCGTGTGGTATTCAACGCGTCCTGCAAAACCACAAGCGGATTGTCATTGAACGACACTCAGTTTTCGGGACCACAGCTCCAMKACAATTTGATTGATATTCTTCATCGGTTTAGACGTTATCGAATAGCTATAACCGCCGATGTCGAGAAGATGTTTCGACAGGTTGAGATCAGTCCCTTGCATCGTAAATGGCAACGCATCTTGTGGCGAAAATCTGCAGCCGAACCACTACGTAGCTACGAGTTGGCTACTGTAACATATGGAATGACCAGCAGTACATACAATGGGATTCAGTCCTTACGCCAATGTGCTCTAGATAACTACAACATTGTGGAGGACGAAACCCGGGCTTCTATGGCAAGGAACAATATCCTTGATGGATTTTACGTAGACGACTATTTAGAAAGTTTTGACTCTCTGTTGGAAGCCGTTAGTTGTGCTCATGATGTCGATGCGATCCTTCGTCAAGGTCAGTTCGTTCTTAGCAAATGGAATTCGAACTGCGCCAAAGCACTTCATGCTATCACCGATCYAGAAAAATCTGAAGCAGAAATTAAATTATGCGATTCCAATGCCACTGTGTTAGGCCTACATTGGAATCCGTTGAGCGATGAGCTCTTTTTTAAGGTGGCAATTGAAGACTCACATACACTACCAACAAATTTTGAGTGACGTCGCAAGGCTGTATGGCCCGCTTGGTATACTAGCGCCAGCTGTAGTTCTGGCCAAAATGTTCATTCAAACCCTGTGGARGAASGATCTTAACTGGGACACTCCACTGCCTGTAGAATTACAAGACCAGTGGCTCGAATTTCGAAATGGTCTTCAAGAACTAGCGCGAGTCCGTGTACCGCGTTGGTTA